AACTGGCCTCCTCATCATGTTTGATCTCTGGAATGATCTTGGCAAAAACGCAGGCTGAGAAAAAATAATATCACCAGCAAAACAAGACTGCCACGCTGTGTTCTGAGAGACAAGGTGGGTGAGGTAATATCTTTTACTGACCCAACAGTTGGTGAGAGAGACAAGCAGAAGTGGGTCCAATACAAGATATTGTCTCACCCTCCTTGACTATCTAACATCCTGGGTCAGAGTGCTCATCTCCCAGCACCAATGCGATTAGATCTAGAATTGTTCCCCGGTGCCTCTCCATTTCTGCATCTTAAGTAAACAACTGACCCAATGTCTGACAATAAAAGGAAGGGTGAATATTATCATATTAGAGATTGGAGTCAGTTTTCAGATCATAATTTGCTAACTAGCGTAACAAAGATCCACTTGACATAACCAGCATTTCTGAACCATGGTCAGGGCCGGCTCCAGGCACCTGCAAAGGAAACAGGTGCTTGGGGCGGCCAATGGAAAGGGGTGGCACGTCAGGGTCTTTGACGGCAATTCGGCGGCGGATCCCTCTGGGAGTGAAGGACCCGCCGCCGAATTGCCGTCGAAGAATGAAGCGGCGCGGTAGAGTTGCCGCCGAACTGCTGCTGTGGTTTTATCTTTCCCCCCCCCTCCCCCCCGCTTCGCCGCTTGGGTCAGCAAAAAAGCTGGAGCCAGCCCTGACCATGGTGGAATGAAAAAAAATTGGGATACTGTAACATCTATCTATACAAACTATACAGGAAGGACACCAAGAGGCAAAGAGATGGGGAAAAAACAAGTTTGCAGATGACACTAGAGTGGAAGGAGTGGTAGATACTCTGCAGGGTAGGGATAGGATACAGAGGGACTTAGACAAATTAGAGGATTGGGCCAAAAGAAATCTGATAAGGTTCAAGACGGACAAGTGCAGAGTCCTGCACTTAGGATGGAAGAATCCCATGCACTGCTACAGACTAGGGACCGAATGGCTAGGCAGCAGTTCTGCAGAAAAGGACCTAGGGGTTACAGTGGACGAGAAGCTGGATATGAGTTGACCATTAATGAAGATATTGAACAAAACTGACCCCAGGACTGACCCTTGGGGCACTCCGCTTGAGACCAGCTTCCAACTAGACATGGAGCCATTGATCACTATCCATTGAGCCCGACGATCTAGCCAGATTTCTATCCACCTTATAGTCCATTCATCCAGCCCATACTTCTTTAACTTAGTGGCAAGAATACTGTGAGAGACCGTATCAAAAGGTTTGCTAAAGTCAAGGAATAACATGTCCACTGCTTTCCCCTCATCCACAAAGCCAGTTATCTTGTCATAGAAGGCAATTAGGTTAGTCAGGCATGACTTGCCCTTGGTGAATCCGTGCTGACTGTTCCCAATCACTTTCCTCTCCTCTAAGTGCTTCAGAATTGATTCCTTGAGGACCTGCTCCATGATTTTTCCAGGGACTGAAGTGAGGCTGACTGGCCTGTAGTTCCCCGGATCCTCCTTCTTCCCTTTTTTAAAGATGGGCACTACATTAGCCTTTTTCCAGTCATCCGGGACCTCCCCCGATCACCATGAGTTTTCAAAGATAATGGCCAATGGCTCTGCAATCACATCAACCAACTCCTTAAGCACCCTTGGATGCAGTGCATCTGGCCCCATGGACTTGTGCTCGTTTAGCTTTTCTGAATAGTCCTGAACCACTTCGTTACATAAAAACATAAGAATGGCCATACTGGGTCAGACCAAAGGTCCATCCAGCCCGGTATCCTGGCTACCGACAGTGACCAATGCCAGGTGTCCCAGAGGGACTGAACCTAACAGGTAATGATCAAGTGATCTCTCTCCTGCCATCCATCTCCACCCTCTGACAAACAGAGGCTTACCCATCCTGGCTAATAGCCATTAATAGACTTAACCTCCATTAATTTATCTAATTCTCTTTTAAACCCTGTTATAGTCCTAGCCTTCACAGCCTCCTCAGGCAAGGAGTTCCACAGGTTGACTGTGCGCTGTGTGAAGAAGAACTTCCTTTTATTTGTTTTAAACCTGCTTCCCATTTATTTCATTTGGTGGCCCCTTTTATATACCTCTATCATATCCCCCCTTAGTCTCCTCTTTTCCAAGCTGAAAAATCCTAGCCTCTTTAATCTCTCCTCATATGGGACTCGTTCCAAACCCCTAATCATTTTAGTTGCCCTTTTCTGAACCTTTTCTAATGCCAGTATATCTTTTATGAGATGAAGAGACCACATCTGTATGCAGTATTCAAGATGTGGGCGTACCATTGATTTATATAAGGGCAATAAGATATTCTCCCTCTTATTCTCTATCCCTTTTTTAATGATTCCTAACATCCTGTTTGCTTTTTTGACTGCCACTGCACACTGCATGAACGTCTTCCGAGAACTATCCATGATGACTCCAAGATCTCTTTCCTGATTAGTTGTAGCTAAATTAGCCCCCATCATATATGTATAGTTGAGGTTATTTTTTGCAATGTGCATTACTTTACATTTATCCACATTAAATTTCATTTGCCATTTTGTTGCCCAGTCACTTAGTTTTGTGAGATCTTTTTGAAGTTCTTCACGGTCTGCTTTGGTCTTAACTATCTTGAGCAATTCAGCTCACAATTTTTTGGCTCCCGAGGACAGCGTTATATCGGGGTAGAGGTGTACATTATATTATGTTTATTATATGATTTGAAATGATAAAGTCAAAATGAGCAATTCAGGGGCTTTCCCTGAACAAGCGGCGGCCCTAGTTTGAGAACCACTGGTGTAGACATACCCAAAGGGAGTCTCCACTGACTTCATTAGACTTTGCAACAGGCCCAACGAAATAACCATTTCATGGCATTCAGTGTTCCTAAGGCACGATTATCCTCTCTATTAGGATATAACTCAAGCATAGATCCTGCCCTCCTATTTTTAGCTTTTATCATAGGTGGGGTGAAGTTTAGGCAAAAAAAAAAAAAAGATTAAAAAAAGCGTTGAAAACAAAACTATAAGTAACTGTGTGTATTTTATGCAGATCATGGGTCCATTGTAAAAAGCAAACCATAAATTGTTGCAATTTAATAGTTGTGTCCTAATTTATTTATTTGTAATCATGAAAATGTTTCTATTATTACTTTTTTGTTGTTTTCAGGGCTTTCTTCAAGCTAAATGTTTGCCTGAATGTCCAACAGGGGTATTTTTAAACAAAATCCAAAGCCAGAATGACAGCTACATTATTGCTTTGTATCATCTGGGAAACCTACATTGCATTTAACCAAACAGATCAGCCCATACTTCTTGAGGCACAATAGAAAAAATCAGTTTATGATTACTAAATCATGTTCATGATTTTGCAAAAAATCAGTCGTATAGAATGAGTGTTTTAATTAAGTCCAGAGGAGAGCAACAACAATGATAAAAGACATTGAATACCTAACCTATGAGGCATATTTAGTCTTTAGAGAAGACTGGGGGGGGGGGACCTGATAGTCTTCAAATATGTTAAGGGTTGTTATAAAGAAGATGGTGAGCAATAGTTCTCCATGTCCACTGAATGCAGGACAAGAAGTAATTGGCTTAATCTGCTGCAATTAAGGGAGATATAGGTTATTAGGAAGATATTAGGAAAAAATTCTAACTAAGAATAGTTAAGTAGTAGAATAACTTTCCAAGGGAGATTGTGTAATCCCCATCATTGGAGATTTTTAAGAGCAAGTTGGACAAACACCTGTCACTTGTTCCTGCCTCTGTACAAGGGCTAGACTAGATGACTTCAAGGTCCCTTCCAGCTCTACATTTCTATGAGTCTAAGGCCTGGTCTACACTGCTGCTTAAGTCGATGTAAGTTACATCGCTCAGGGGGGTGAAAAAATCACCACACCTGAGCGACGTAGCTTACATCAAACTACTGAGGTGTCTACACCATGCTATGTTGATGGGAGACACTCTCCCGCTGACTTAGCTTCTGCCTCTCGGGGTGGTGGAGTAGTGAAGTCAATGGGAGAGCGCTCTGCCATCGACTTATCGTGTCTTTACCAGACCCGCTAAATCAATGTCGCTGCATCAATCGCAGCGGTGCCGATTTAGCAGGCCAGTGAAGACAAGCCCTAAATCTTATGGCTGGGATTTTTAAAGATGTTATGTCCCCAGTTCCTACTGAATTTCAGTAACAATATTGCATTACAAATTGTCAGGTTAAACACCTTAGATGTTTTAGATAACAAGTTTCCTTGCATGTGGCATTAATATAGAACTCTTAAATTCTTAAACCTGAAAGATTTTTGTGTAAAATGTAACTCCTGTCCCTGAGTGCTATTTGCTTTACTTAGGCTAAGGATAGACTACAGTTTAGGTCAGTATAAGTTATATCGCTCAGGGGTGTGAATAAGCCAACGTAAGCTACGCCTACCTAAGCACCAGTGTGGACAGCGGTATGTCGGTGGGAGATCTTCTCCTGCTGACATAGTTACCACCGCTCATGTCACCGTAAGAACTCTCTCCCATCAGCTTAGAGCTTCTGCACTATCAGGGCTACAGCAGCACAGTTCTGTAGTGTAGCCGTAACCTTAATATTTAATTCAGCGCCCAACCCTGAAACCGGATCCACATAGGTGCTGCCTGCAGGCCAAGCATTGGGGCCTCAGTTAGTAAAATTACACTAGACTAGACAGTTTTATTTGTAGTCATTTTAAAATTCATTTTCAGGGGTTAATGCTGTAGTATAATGCTGCACTATTTCTGTTCACCCTTTTAAAAATACAAATAAATATTCCCATGCAAATTATTTTCTTCGCATTTCTTCCTAGAAATCTTTCTATTGATCTTATATTTTTGTTTTTACAAAAGCTTATATTTACAAAACCTTAAATTGTGGGCCAGTTTTTTTGAAAGAGAACCTTACAAATCACACTTGTAAAATCTGCAGGATTGGGACCATTTCAGACACTGGCACACAGAATATTTTATGAACAAGTACATGGTACGTTATTTCATTTTAGGATCCAGCTCCAGTATATGCTGCTTTGTCTACTGACTTGCCAGAAGTGCAAATAGAGATCACTGACAAGCACAATGCGCTCAGGAGATTGGTAAATCCAACAGCTAGAAACATGCTGAAGATGGTAAGATTGTATATAAGAACCTCTTAGTGTTACGATTCTAGCAGTGGTTTTCAAAGATCTCCATAATGGGACCCACCAAGAACTCACTCCTGGTTTGCTAGACGCTAGCTGGGACCTCCATTAACCATTCAACACATTTGGTTGTGATTTCCGGACTCCTACTTGTAACCCAGTTCGGAGCTACCACATTCAGAACGAGAACCCATGTGTCAGCGATTGAGAAGCGGCTCTTTGCTGCCATAGTACAAATAGTTGAGCTGGCTGGAAATTTTGTGACAGAACATTTTTCTCTTGTAAAATGCTGACTCATCCAAAGTGAAACATTTCATGGAAATGTGTCAGGTTTGATTAATTTTTTGAGGGAGTACCGCCAGGTACTCCAGGGCTTCCAGGGTCTACAGCTCCAGAGCAGTTCACTACACAGATTGCCCCAGGATTGGAGACCCCAGGAATTCTAGGATCCCTGATACAGAGCCGGGAGCTCTGAGGCCAGTAGGTACTCTCAGAAACTAAGTACCAACACCGCAGCAGGGAGCCTGGAAATCCTGGGGGCCCTCAGGGCTCCCTGCCATGTTGCTGGTAGCCTGGAAGACCTGTGAGCCCCAGTTCCTAGGCTCACAGCTTAGCTGTAACTCATAGACCTTCTAAGCTTCCAGCTCCCTGTCAGCCCTGATGCTGATGGGGAGCGGGTGACTAGAAGTGCTGGGAGCCTTGGCTGAGCCCATTTTGGAGATTGGTCTCTGAGGTGGAAGTTAATTTTGAAATTTTCCAAAGGAAATGTTTCAGTTATTTCTAAATCAGTCTCCTTCAATTCCCTTCCACGGGGAAATTTTGAAATTTCTACTTCTCACTTCAAAAACAATTTCTTTCAAAATTTTGCAATTTCCCAAGGAATGGAAATTTGGACTTTTAACCAAGTAGCTGAAAACATTATCTAATGTATCAAGGTGGGGAGACCACATAGGTTTCCAGGGGGATGGAAGGAGAGGACAATAAGAAAAGAGAGTAGATGGGAGAGGAGCTGTGAAAAGTGAATGCTAGAATTATTGATGGCCATTGAACAGGATGCAGTGAGTCTGAAAACAGACTTCCATTTGGTTCTCTACAAAAGCATCTTACTTATTCAGTTAGTTGCACATTCCATGATTCTCTGTATTCCATTCAAGTTTAATGTCCAGGACACTGAATCTATTCGATTGCAATATGTTTTACACCCTTAACTTTTGTAATACCGAAGAACCAGATTGTTTTAAAGTACTTGTGAAAACTAAAACAATGAGAGCATTACAATGGAAACTGAAGTACTCTGGCCACAAAAAAAGTGCATCATTTAAGCAATGTACCTATTCTGTTGGTCATTATGGCTCCATCCTGGAGAACCACCCTGAGGGGTGAGAAGCTCTGTCTTCATGCAAATTCAAGTTTGTTTAATTAGGTTCTCAATCATGGTGATAATGGTGAAAATTTGTGCCAACATTAGTGGTGCTCTTTTTGGAGTGGACATTTATTCAATAGGTACTGAGTTGAGACCAACGACCCATTTAGCGTAGACCAACAAAGAGACACATCAACATCCTCCCAAGCCATCCTCACCACCAATTATATTGACAAGCCTAGTTCTAAATTCTAAGAACTGCACAAATCCCATGGGAATCAAAAGGAACCTCTGAAAAATCAACCTCTGAAAAATCAAGCCTCCTTTATTTATATGCCTATCTGTAGATTTAGGGTTGATCAGGGGATTTAGACACACACAATTCCCATTAGTCGGCTTTGAAAATCTCAATCTGGGTTTCTAACTTCAGGAAAGCGAACCAAAGCAGGCAAATCAAATTCACATTTGCTGATTGTTTTACTCTTTGAATTGCTTAAGACTGCCCAATATCTCCCATTTCATTAAGGTATGGAATGCTGAAGCTGCAAAGAATGCTAAAAGTTGGGCAGAACAATGCGTTTATTCCCATAGTCCTGTATCCAGAAGAAAAGTTGGAAGTAAGTAAAATATGACTTTTGGCAAGCAATGTATCATTAAGCAGTCTGGACTACATGACGTTGCCTCATATGTGAGCGAGGAGAGAGAGAGTAAAGGGAGCTCTTGCCCAATAGCACACAAGGGACAGTCATAAGCTAGTTCCCAGAACTGGGGAGACCGTAGTGGTGTAGAATGATATCAGTGCTATAGTAATCTACACGAAGAAAGTGAGTCTGTGTCCCACTGTAATGGCCAGTCCATATAAAGGAGAGGAGTCAATTACGGCTACCAGCAAGAGCAGTTTGGCTCTCCACAACTGGGAAAGGTGGGAATCAGATATTATGGTGATGGATGCCATATAGGTGTATAGACAGATCCCTCTTGCAAAGACCAGGAGGTTGGCCAGAGTGGAGCTGGGTCTTGCAGATTTGGGAAGCCTCAATTAGCTGTGAGGAGTTGGGAAAATATCATTGTTTAAACTGGTTCATGTTGAAAACTTTAACAATAATTTAACCAGGTTCACATCTAAACTTAAAGGGTGTGATTCTCGTTTACACTAAGGCCTGTTTTATGCCACTCTCGCAGTGTAAAGGGGTAAATGAGGATGATACCAAGGAGTTTAGTGTGCCCTTATGTTAAATGGGCAAGTATTCACAGAGCATTGTTCATGAGGGCATTTCGGGGGGCTGATGCAATTTCAAAGCAGTCATTCTTTCTTCTAGGTTGTTTTTTCTCCTGAATGATGAAGGTGTTACAATATTCCCAGAAACTCTTCATTATATAATTGGTGGACTCTCTTTCCATTATTTAGATATCACCTGTGGTGAAAATCTCTATTATTCAAGTGTTCCCAAATCATGTTCATCTGCACTCCAAGGCTGGTTTGATAAGAGAGATTCCTTCACATTCGGTGTTGGACCAACATCATCAAATGCAGTGACTGGACACTATACTCAGGTATGGATAGTGACTATAGCATAACATGCCACATTTGCTAAAGAGTCCTCTAAACTTGTGCCAGAAATCTTATGCATGCAAGCATTCACATGAGAACATGGCATAGTTGCATATCTAACTACCTGATTTTCTAATGCAAATCCAGGTTTTGGGGCATAAGACTAATTTTCTTGATCAAAATTAGATGCTTAAAAGTTTGCATGCACAAAATTGGTGACACAACTTTAGACGCCGTACTGAGGTGATTTGGAAAATGTGTTTAATTTGGATCATCACTAAATTCATAATTTAAGAAGGAAACAGATGCAACTTTTGACATGAGGTACATTATTTTTTCCACCAGGGACTATCCAACATCACTCCTTGAGCCATAATATTTAGTCCACTATATTTAAGCAAGAAGGCACCCCTTCATAATCCTTTTATAGCAGATAAGGCCCAGGCAGTGGATCCCAACTGGTCCTTATTTGACAGACAAAGATTCAGGGTAGTGTCTCATCAATCATATCAACTGAAGATTTTGTCCAGTGCTTCCCCTTTCAAAATGAACCATCCTCTTGGACTTCTGGAGGAATCAGAATTTATATGAGGGGGTAGGACGCTGCTGAAGGTTTGATCTGTGAAGGAGTGGGAGCCGGTAGCAACACTATCTTTCCTAGAATCTCACCTCTAATGTCATCTAACTATCTGAGGATCTTCACTTAGATTCAGCATCTGGATTGCAGTGCGGTCCTGCTTACATTACAGACACAAGGAGATTTGTGATGTCTTTGTAACATAAAGGACTCAGCCCAGATTTGAACATCCAGTATATGTCTAGCCCCCAGTCTAAACAGCAGAGAACACAACTTCTTTAAATACTGAATAAAACTAATTTGAAATGTGCTTCTGTTTGCATTAATGACCCTCTTTCTAGGGAAATCACCGACACACTAGTCAAACATACTTACTTTTAGAAGCCCTCACGGCATCACAATTATAGTATATTGACAAAACGGGGACATCAAGGGGCAGATTCTCAGCTGATGTAAATCAGGGGAGCGCCAGTGAGGCCCAGGGTGCTACTTTGATTTATAGCAGCTAAGGAACTGACCTATGAAATCTACATATTTTACAAAATTCTGCCCTATTTCCTGCTGTCTGAGAATTACACTCAGTGATATCACAGTGATGCTGTCTAGTAGTGAAAGCAAGGAATTGCTAGCTGAGGGACTCTGCCATGGATTCACCATGTGATTGTAGGCAAAGTGTTTCACCTGTCTCTGCCTCAGGTTCAACACCTGTAAACTAGAGATAATGATACCCATCATGACATCCTTCTTAGAGAGCCTTAATATTACTACTACATGGTACAATGATTCTGTGCAAAAATCTCAGTGGCAAAGTTAAATATCACTGTTAAATGTAGATATTATTATTGTTACTCTTTACAAGAATAGATAACATTATCTAATGTGTTTATTTTCCTATTTACAGATGGTTTGGTATAAGTCTTATGAGATTGGATGTTCATTTGCTTTCTGTCCATACTCGGCTCTGTACAAGTACTATTATGTTTGCCATTACGACCCTGCGTACGTATTCACTGTGGATTTTAGTCATTTTATAAATCCCTTTTGTCATTTCATTTCTGAACTAATTCAGTAAGACTTCAGCTAAATAGCAGCATGCATGATAATTACCATGTGTGATTATGAATGGATGAAGTGTGGTAAGGGTCAGATATGTGAATCTCTTGAAAAAATGTACAGGGATACTTACACCAAAATTAAATTCTTCACTATGAAACCCCCCAGCAGAATATCATGAAGATTATCTTTGAATTCCATCACTTTTCCGCATCAGTAAATTAAGACCATCATGGTATGTAACCCTCTCAGACTGAGCCCAGTATATAGTATTATGGCCCTACCAAACTCACAGTCCATTTTGGTCAATTTCATGGTCATAGGATTTTAAAAATTGTAAATTTCATGATTTCAGCTATTTAAATCTGAAATTTCACAGTGTTGTAATTTTAAGGGTCTTGACCCAAAAGGCAGCTGTGCAGGGGATTGCCAGGTTAGTGTAGGCAGGTCGCGGTACTGCTACCCTTACTTCTGTGCTGCTGCTGGTAGCAGCGCTTCCTTCAGAGCTGGGCAGCTGGAGAGCAGAGGCTGCTGGCCAGGAGCCCAGCTCTGAAGGCAGAGCCGCCGCCAGCATCAGCGCAGAAGTAAGGGTGGCAATACCATACAATACCATACTTACTTCTGTGCTGCTGCCTGTAGAACTGGGCCCTCAGGCAGCAGCCACCACTCTCTGACCGCCCTGCTCTAAAGGCAGCAGCGCAGAAGTAAGGGTGGGATGGTGTGGTACCACCCTTGCCACCCTCACTTCTGCGGTGCTGCTGGTGTGGCGCTGCCTTCAGAGCCGTTACCCAGCTACCAGCTTCCGCTCTCCGGCCGCCCAGCTCTGAAGGCAGTGCAAAAGTAAAGGTGGCATTACCGCGACCCCCATAAAATAGCTTTGTGACTCCCCTGCAAGTCCCTTTTGGGTCAGGGACCCCAATTTGAGAAATACTGGTCTCCCCTGTTAAATCTGTATAGATAGTGTAAAAGTACAAAAAAGACCAGTTTCATGGGGGGGGGGGGGGGAGTTAAGACCAGATTTCATGGGGGGAGACCAGATGCGTTTTTCATGGCCATGAATTTGGTAGGGCCTTATCTATGATGTAGAGAGAGAAGAAATTGGCAAGAGAGACAGGAACTGAGGAAGATGGGAACGTTTTAACAGGAATGGGCAAATCAAGGACATCTGGCTAGAGAGAATGGAAAGGAAAAAAATAATGAAACGGGTCTCATACAAAAATTCACTTTATTCACTTTGTTTCTACTCTATTTTATATCCTCCCCGCTTGTCCCCTGTCTGTGTTCTCAGGTAAGCCCCTCATCCTGCAACTGAATCCAACACAAAGGTTGCAATTGAAAATTCTTTGGGGGGATATACGTGTCTCGTTTTATGTCTGTAAAGTAGTTGTTGCACACGTAATAATAATTCATAAGGAACTGACTTTGGGATAAAATGTACCCAGTGAAGATGTCAGAACTGGAGCTGTCCGAAAAAGAGAATTTCTGTTGTGTGGAAAATTCAGAGATTTTGAATTTTAGCCTAAATTAGGACAAACAGTCAAAATCTCAGATTTTTCTGTGGAACAAAATATTCCCAAAGATTTCATGTTCCTAAGGTTGAAATGTTTAATTTCATCCTTCTCATTTTTGACATATATTATATAATATTAGCAGCTGAAAGCCTGTGCTGGCACACAGCTCTAATTTGGAAAGTCATGTATGTAAAAAGCCAAAAATTGTGGAGAATTTAAAAATTGGATGGTAACAGACTGTGAATCCCAGTGATGATTTAACTACTGGTGATATTTCCATCACTGCACACTGACTCCACCGACATTCTAAACTTCAAGGTGTTATGTGGGATTATTGTGTGTGCTGTTAATGTTGTGTAAGCGGATGTGTTGATTTGTGTGTGGATTGTGTTGTGCTGGAAATGTTTTGAGGATTTGTGTGGGTGGCGAGTGAGAGGTGTGTGCTACAGTGAGGGGCTATCTGTGTTCGGGGTTATTGTGTCTACTGGTTGTGTATTTGTGTGGGTGGTTGTGTTGATTTGTGTGAGAAGGTGGGTTGTGCTAGAAGATTTGTGTTGATTTGTGTGGGTGTCAGCTGAGCACACGGGTGTGACAGCTGGGCCAAATAATCCACCATCTGTGGAGTTTTCCTCATATAATCATGCAAATTCTCTGTGGAGTAAAGACTGGTGATTGGTTGAGTTGCCTCTGATATCACAATGGTCTAGGACTCTGGGCATGACATAGATACATGCCTTACTGTAGCTATACACCTCATGGGTGTAATTTGTAAACTCAAAATTACTGAGAACTTAAAAATTGGACTGCAATAGACTGTTAAACCCAGTGATGTCTCAACCTGGTGATACTGTGAACAAATGAGCCCTTAATCATGCTTCTAGCTGTTTCCATCACTTCACCCTGACTCAACAGACACATTAGGTTTCAAAATGACACACAGTGACATTCATGGAATACACCTCTACCCCGATATAGAGTGACCCGATATAACACTAATTCAGATATAATGTGGTAAAGCAGTGCTCCGGGGGTGGGGGGGGCGGGGCTGCGCACTCCGGCAGATCAAAGCAAGTTCGATATAACGCGGTTTCACCTATAACCCGGTAACATTTTTTGGCTCCTGAGGACAGCGTTATATCGGGGTAGAGATGTACATTATATTATATTTATTATATGATTTGAAATGATAAAGTCAAAATGAAATCTTTTACCTTATTGAAATGATTCAGTTCAATGATTTTCCATTGAAAATTTTGTTAAACTTTATATGTTTCCGTTTCCACAATGTTTAAATGTCAGTGAAACAGCATTTTCCAACAGAAAACTACTGTCAGAAAATTTGACCAGCTCTGGTCAAAATGCTACAGCCCAGATTTTAAGTTAGATGCTTGCAATTGCAGGAATGCATTTGTACATGCCAATGCAGTATGCTCATACAAAACACTAACTAGTTATGCCTACATACATATAACTGATTTGCATGCATCAGGCAGGTGATGCAAATGTACATGCACAGTTGTACTCACCTAACTTGACTAATGGCTGCAGAACCAGCCTCTTTTGTATGTACTCTGAATAGAACTTTGAAGTATGAATGAAAAATGAGGTTTGTCAGACATTTTATGTAATTTTAAAATTTTAGGGGAAATGTAGTAAGATCAGCTACGACACCTTACAAAAAAGGAGACCCATGCGGCGACTGTCCTGATGCTTGTGACAATGGACTGTGCAGTAAGTTAATATATTATTGTACCACCTACATATTTTTGGTGTGTCTCATGACGTGCTGAATTCCCTAATCCAGTCCAAGTAGAGCATGGGGGTTTGACGCCTCTGTTTGTAATGAGCAATGATACATATAGACACCACATTCTCTGGTTCAGGGCATTACAGCAGGTGTTCCAGTTCTGCCAGACAGCTATTCCTCTTTTATCTACAGGATTCTTACTTTTTCTGTAGTGTCGTTGTCACTCAAAAGCAGCTGCTATGTAATATGAATGAAGTTATTCTCCCTCCCATCCAGTCCCTCCGTGTCACAGACCCATAGTTCATGTCATTAGTAGGCAGTGCACCTAAGCAATGGTATTGCAATAACTGTAGCGTAGATTCCTTCTATGCAGTTGGTTTTTCTAATGTTACATTTAGTAATAAATTATGCCTGGGGGAATGTAAAGGGTTGCCACAGAGATAAATCAAAAACATCCTGTGGCCTGACTGTGCTCTTATTCAAGTTAATGGCAAAACCTACGCTGATTTCAGTGGGAGAGGAGCAGGTTCATGGTTAGCGACGATCCCTTAGCCACACAGAATCGTCAGCACTTGTAAGAGTCTAAGGCAGCTTGGGGGAAGAGGAAAGGAAGAAAAGTCAGGGCCCTGGTGGGGAGAGGGTTGTTGGTCAAAACTCTTTCTGCCCGTTTCCCATTACCACCATTCTGCCCACATCCCTCTATCCAGCCTGCTCCTTTCAATTCCTGTCTCCTCCTACCTGCCCCCCACCTGCCCTGCAGCCATCTCCCTTCCTCCTCTCACCCCCATGCCAGGCAGTCAGTCATTTCTGTAGGCAGCTGCTTCCGCCCACAATCCCCTCACACAGCCAATGCACCAGCAGGGGGAGGGAGTATTGAGATCCTCCCTTCTGGCTCCTGGTCCCATTGCAGTTGCTGATGGGGGGAAGGAGCAATATAAGAACAACTCCATTCTCTTTGTAGCCCTGCGGGATACATGAGTTTTCTTCAGGGATGTGGAAATGCCTGAGAGGACCACCGCATGCATGAGTGTCGTTCCCAGTGCATGACACTTCTCAGCCCTGCCCTCCCTTGGCATGGACCCCTGGGTCTGTGAACAGGACTCCACAGTGTTCAGAAAGGGGGTGCTGCAAAGTCAGCTGAATCTCCCATCTGCACTGAGGAGGAGAGTCATGCCTATGGGCAGAACCGGCTCCAGGGTTATTGCCACCCCAAGCAGCAGAAAAAAAAAAAAAAAGCCGCGAATGCAATTGCGATCGGCGGCACTCTGGCGGCAGCTCCACCGCACCGCTTTTTTCTTCGGCAGAAATTCAGCGGCAGGTGCTTCCCTTCGAGAGGGACCCACCGCCGAATTGCCACCGAACAGCCCGACGTGCCGCCCCTTCCCCTTGGCCGCCCCAAGCACCTGCTTGCTGGGCTGGTGCCTGGAGCCGGCCCTGTCTATGGGGAGTACATACCATGCCTGTCTCAAGGGTATAATTTGGTCCACAGCTTTCACTCCCTTGGTTTATGTTGGTTTTGCTGAACTAAGGCAGGAGTATAAACTGAGTAAGGGGCTCAGGATTTGGCTCACACTCTGTGGATAGTTAAGCTTCTGTGACCCTTTAATTGAGGAGAAAAAACGGAAGTGAGAAAACATGTTTAATAAGGGTAAAATTCACCCCTGTACAGGAGACCAGCCAAAAGCTTGTGCAACACAAAAATTCCGGTGAATCCCATCAATGGTGCCTAGGCCTTTGTGCTGGCTCTCCACACAGGGGCGACTTTCATCTAAATGCGAATATATTTGAAAGAAAAAAAAAATCACAAGCTAGGATTGCTTTAGTCTCCGAGATCTGCTGTGCATTGTAAAGCACTTTGAGATCTGATGAAAGGGGCTATATCAGTACTGCAAAGAGCAAATAGAAATTTTCAGCCTGAATGACGTTCATAGTAGATTACAGTAAACAACAATACAAAAGAACAAAAGTGAAGTCTCCCTGAGAGAGCACAGTGTCTCCCCCAGAGCCAGTGCTAGCCATTGGGGGCCCTAAGCAGGAATATTTCCTGCCACCCCAATACTAAAACAGGCAAGTTCTTAGAATAAAAAGCTAGTAGGAGGGGCCCTTGAACTGCTTGGGGCCCTAAGCAATTGCTTAGTCTGCTTCTGCCTAGCGCTGGCTCTGGGGTGTCTCCTATAAAACACGATGCAGCCGTTCTGCATCTCAGAATGGCTGTTTATGTTGGCAGACAAGCGAGTTCTTAGAGACTTAAACAAAACAAATGGGTAACAGTCATAGCAAAATAAACCGCATTAACCATGTGCTCCCATTTCTTTCAGCCAATCCTGGCAAGTATGAAGATACATACTCCAACTGTGGTCAAATAAAAAAGGAATTTACCTGTCAATACCCGTTTGTCCTAAAATATTGTGCCGGTTCCTGTCCGTGCACCACTGAAATACAGTAATAACTTAAAGTTAGCCTCTGCCGTAAAATGAAAATAAATAAAATCATATATTTCCAAACTAGATATAATTCTAGATAAAGATTCTAACAATGTATTCTGCATTGTGTGCGGTGATCCTCCTCCTGTGTAAGTTTCATGTTCTATTAAGTCTCACTTAATTATTAACTAGGGGCATCTGGTCTTCTCAATCTGCCTGTAGAACTCCTTACAGAAGGAGCTGATTGAAGGAACTTTCTTTTAAAATGGGCAACGCTTATTTGAAAATGTACTTTTTAGTTTGTATGCAAGAAAAACAAGCAAGGCTTGAAGCCCATAGAAGAAAGAAACCTGACACTTAAGTATATTAATTTCACTTACTTAATAACTTGATTTTGTTTTTGTGACCTTTCTCTTTGTCATATTCCTGCAAAATAAACACCTTAATTATCTGTTTGATTATCTTCATTGGAGCATAATTCCTACTTTCCGCTCTACCTGGAAAAGCAAACAGTTACAAATACCTGGATACATAGCAAGCTCACAAAGCACTTTGTTACATTTTCACATGTGAAATGCTATTGTGGACAAAAGCAAATGACCCAGAGAAAAAACAGACAGAGATTTCATTGAAAGCAAATAATTCCTATTAATTCCACAAACACACTGATTCATCAGGATATACTAACTTAAAGCATCTGAGTTGTCCCATTGACTTCAGAGTGTCTGCTCATGTACTTAAAGTTAGGCATGTGATTAATTGCCTGGCTGAACTGAGGCCCAAAAATTTTTGTAGCTGGTTAGTTCAAAAAATGAAAAGGTGGGACGCGTTGATCTGGTTGGAGAAAAATCAGTAGGAGAGCCCGATGCACAAGGGAAATGCCGTGAGCCTAAGCTTGAGGTGTCTCAGATGTATCGGGCAGTCAGGGGAGGCAAGGTTTTCCACTCTGTATAGTTTGGCCCCTTGCATGGATTCCTCAGCCCTCTGATGCAGTCTTGAGGTGTGAAGAATTTCCCTGCAGCCTTGACGATGCTCATAGGGTTGTAGATCTGAATGAGAAATGCATCCCTGTTCATCTGCTGCATGTTTCTGACAACCACCAATTAGGAAAAAAAGGGAACCAAGTTGCAAAATGTGAACCAGTGTCTCTAGGGAATACAGATATTGAGGAAAATTGCAAAGGAGTAGAGGGTAAGGTGAGCTCCCAGAGCTTCTTTTGGACCTGTTCCAGAGCAGTGCTCTACACTAACATAGGGAACAGCAGAATAGTCTAAGACACTTTCTGGTTAGGAATCAGGAGTTGTTCTCCCAACCTAACAAAGATATAGGCCGTGCACAAGACTGGTACTGGTGGAAATCAGCCCATTAAATAGCCAGCTCACCATTTACTAGTACAAAAAGGGAAGAGGCATTTACAGGCCCTTAAGGAAATGTGTCAGGAAGGCATAACTGAGCCTTCATCCAGTTATTGGGTCTCACTCATAGCTCTGGTTAAGAAAAAATAAATGGAAGCAGCAGCTGATTCTCTGTGGACTATAGAAAAGTACATGAAGTTACTTTAAAGGATTCTTATCAATTACCATGAATAGATGATACCCTGGATGCTATAGCAGGTTCTTCTTGTTTTCCACACTGGATCTAAAAAAATGGGTACTGGCAAGTGGAAATGGATCCAAAGGACAGAGGAAAATTGCTTGCACAAGAGGACAACGCCTGTGGTCATTTAAAATGATGCTTTGGCTTGTACAACGCACCATCCACATTTGAAAGGCTAATGGAGAGGGTAACGTATGGAGGGTCTTCCTCATCCTCTTTGTTTTACCTAAATGATATCCTGGTGCGTGCTAAAGCCTTTGAACAAGAACTGATGCATTTACAGATTCTCTGTGATAACCTGAAGGCTTCCATTTCTTTTGATGGTTTGTAGAGCAGCGATCAATGAGGGCACAAAGGGTATCCCAACACTCCTCACATTTGGGCATGAACTAAGGACCCCAGCAAATCTCTTGCATTGAGTTCCTGAAGAGGAACAAAGGAATTTGGACCATTTGGACTATATTGAAAACCCTAAAATCCAAAATTGAAAAAAACAAACAAACCTTACATCTTTGAGGATAGCCTCCAATAAAATGAAAAGGCTCTATGACATAAGGTCATTCGGAGGGGGAGGAGTGGAGAGACCTGGTATGGTTCTACATTCCTAGGAGAAGGAAGAGTAGGAGTCCTAAGCTAAGTAAACCTTGGGAAGGACCCTCTTCTGCACTGGCCCAAATAAAAGTGGTGTCTAGGATATAGTTGGGTCCCAGGGCTAAACCCCAAATGTATCCATAAAGACCATCTCAGAAGGTATCGGTGGGATAGAATTTCAGCTTGGTTGCCCCCCAGAACTGGCAATGTAACTGTGGGTGCTGAAGCCGGAAGAGTGGTTACAGAAATGAATTCCCCTTCAGAACAGAATGAAAGAAGTCTGATTCAACCAGCAGATTCCACAGAAACAATAGACACACTTCAAGAGCATTGTGACATACCTCGGGTACAATCCAGACGAATGAGTAGCTGCCCATTAACCTGGGATGCCCTTTACAAAGCTTTGCTGCTGTAGCCTCTAGTCTGGACTGCTCACAAACAGCCTCCAGCATGCAAGTCACTCCCAGCTATGTGTGTGTGTGTGCTGCAGCCAGCCAGCCACACGTTGGCTCTTACCAGCCTTGTTTATACAGCAGTGTGACCCCACCACACTCCCAGTCTTAGATTTTCCCCCAGAAATGGATGCCCTGTACTGTTCAGCCCTCTCCTGCACAATACAAGCTTATATAAAGTCCATCATTTTATTAATAGAAACAATATGCACATACCTTGTCACTCCAAATGGCGTTTCCCAGGCACTTCAATTCAAACACACTAGATTAGATAAAATAATAGAACAAATTTATTAACGACAAAGAGAGATTTTAAGTGAGTACAAGTAATAAGGCATAAAAGTCAGAAATGGTTACCAAAAAAAAGATAAACCGCAACTGGTGTCTAACGTAACAAGCTATGTTCAATTCAAAGCAAAGTTTCTCTCACCATAGGTTTTCAGTAATCTTACTGACCAAACTTCTTAGGCTGCGACCCCTTCCCCAGTTCCATGCTGCTTCCTTTGTTCTTTCTGGTGCAGAGAATAGATGGAGACAAAGAGAGAGAGAGAGTGGACGGGTCCATTCGGTGTCTGTCCCTTCTTTTTATAGTCTTGTCCCCTCTTTGAGAATCATTTCCAGCTGGGAGCATGGCAACAGGCAGTCTGTGTGGACAGAAACTCCATGCTCTTTCTTTGCTAAAATGTAGATTTTTCACCCTTGCCCCCTTTCCTGCCAAAGTATAGCCACTTAGCAGGTAATGGCCCTGTTAGGAATATTAGTGCCAATGTAGGATCCAGGGCTGTAGTTTCGCCTGAGATAGTACTTTGAGTTCTGCTTCCCTGTTTGGTTTTGGATATATAAACATTCTTACTAATATGTGTGAACAAAGGGATTCTTACTAAGAACAAAGACAGCTACTGTGTATGTTGCTTTTGCCTAAACCAGATGGGTTTGTTAGTATAATGGGAGCAGTTAGTGTGTTACTGGGCATGGTGGGAATGTAATATATGAGTTCACACTTGAAGACTGTCTCAACTTCTTATCTTAAAGCAAGGTCAAGCAACCAGTTGGGATGGGCAAGGGGGGATTGGGCAGGGAAGGTAAAACACTAAAAGACCAGAGAAATGCTTGCCCCTGACTGAAGTACAACCTCACTCCTTACCCCTCCCATGGCGTACAAAAGGGGTGGGAATGAAGACCCCAGCCCGACGACCCCGCAAAATGGAACATGACCATAAGTTGTAAGGGGTGGGACTGTGGGCGTGCATTTCAGGTATAATTATGCCTGCTGAGGATGGGGGAGTCGGAACACTGGAAAACAGGGCTCTGCAGCATCAAAGTTAGGGTATACATATGCCTGCTGGAAATTAACCCTAATAAACATTGCATTGCTTGCACTTTGGACTTCTGGTCTTCTGCTTTCTGTCTGCATGACAAGAACCAGGGGACAGGGTGAAGTGAAAGCCCTCTAACAGGCCCATTGACCTTGTTTACATCTGGCTGAAGCCTTGGCTTGCCCTTTGTCTCTGAGGAAGTGGTTTGGACACTCCCCAGACTTGGGACATGTGTTAGTAACATCATACAGTGCAATCTTATAATTTTACATACAATGTTGCCAAACATATTCTATTAGGACAATACTGACCAGCAAATTATGAGCTTTCAAATGATACCTCACAAGGCATACCTTGTACAAAGTTTACCAGAATAGTGGACACTGGGGTATATTCTGTCCCTTACAAAGCTGCAAAAAGGTTAGCCACTGGCTGACCTGGAGGCAGCATGTCAGAGCCCTCTTTTCTGCACAGGGTATCTGCCACCATGTTTTCTTTAATCTCCATATCAAATTATTGGCATATAAGACTCCAACGTAGAAGCTTGGAATTTGACCTTTAGTTTTGTTTAGCCAGATCAATGTGACTGATCGGTTAAGACCCTGAACTTTCTGTTAAAAAGGGAAGGTCTTAACAGCTTGACTGTCCACACTAAAGCATAGGATTCCTTTTCTATAACAGAATAATTCTGGTGTCAGTTGTTTGTTTAAGAAAGCAATTGGGTGCTTCCCTTGGGTATTGTTCTCCCCTGTTTGCATCAGCACAGCACCTAGAACAATGTCTAATGCACCTCTATGCAGTTCAAATTGTTTATCAAAATCTGAACTAGCTAGTACAGGCTTTTAAGACAAGAGTTGCTTTACCTTATGAAACCCTCTTGACGTGCCTTCATCCATCCAACTTTGTTAGGTTTACTCTTTTTACATAGATCTGTGACTGCAGATACCGTGTCACTGAACCCAGTATTCCAACTAAAGACCTCTGGCTGCTCCACTTTTACACCCAGAGGTGTTTATGGTGATGCGTGCCTCTTTGAGCTTTGACAGCACAATTTCCAAGTGTTTTTTT